ACCATAAATTATTCCAAGTGGCGACTCTGAATCAAATAAATAATCTCATTTCGATTAATGTCATTTTAATTGGAAAAACTCCCCTATCCCCTATCCCTCGAAAAAAAAGGAGGTGTGACAACTCTGGCGACTCTGCTGGGGACCCGAACCCAGAATCTCTAGTTCAGGGTTCAGAATTCGAGCTTAGAATGACTGTTATAGTTGGCTTTTATTTATTATCTATTTTTTTTTACGTGTTTGAGCCTAATGTGCTAAATACCGCTTTTTACCGCTTTGATATTGCTTGAACTGTATATGAACTGTTACGAAACCCTTCTTCTCTCTAAGTTTTCTAAATCTTCTGGGAAGTTCACGTTGGCGTGACTTCTTTTCTGTTAGTGTCATACCCTAATTTAGAACGAGAATCGGATCAGTTACAAAGTCGGATGGCCTTTTGGTTACCGGTACGTTGCCCNTAGGTACGTTTGTTTGCATCACGTGCATTTGACTTTAGGGACTCAACATAGGGGTTGGGTCCGTTTAGGACAGGTGCACCCAATTTAAAAGACCATCCTGATGCATTTTTACGTGCTACTTGTGCATTTATTTATTTCGGCTTGCATGTCGACCGGCTTCTAGAATAGGGAAAGAAAATCGAGAAAAACAAGAGTGAGGTGGAAGAGAAAATCACCCGGTTCTGAAACCCTGTTATTCAAAATATCCCGAAACTTTGCCGAAATATTTTTTAATAAAAAAAGAAAGTCATTTGAAAATAAGTTATATTTTTCTGTTGCGTCAAAACTTACCGAACTACACGGGTTTGATTCTCACCGGATGTGAGATACGTAGGCAACCTTCATCGGGTCTAGCCCCGCTTTTGCAAAAAATAACCAAAAAGTATGAAAATGTCGTTGTTGTGTCTTAAATAAAGTTAGGTGATGCCGCCTTTTGTCCAAATAGTCAGAAATGTCCCGACGGGACGCCGGAAGGCTGTTTTTGCAAGAATAGCCACTCATGGTTTTTTAAAAAAAACATTTGGCCACTTAGCAAACACAACCCTAAAATCTTCTCTTCCGAAGTGCTGAAGGGCCATATTTGCAAAAGTAGCCGTGATTTGTTTTCTGTTGGATTTTGCAAAAATAATCTTTTCATGGTTAGTTTTAAACAAAATTCACATGTTTTAATCTGGTCGCCCTAATTTAAAAATGTGCAGAATGAGCACTGTTCAGAATTTACCTGTGAAGGTTATGGATCAGATTCCACGAGCACTCCACATGTGGTGGGAGGATTTGGGAAAACAAGGACGAGACATGGTCAACCAATACCTGGGGGCGCTCATTGGACTATTGAAAATTCAACCCAGAAGGGACCTGATAGAGGCATTAGTGGCATTCTAGGACCCCGCTCATAATGTTTTGCACTTCTCAGATTTTGAGCTTACGCCTACTTTGGAAGAAATGGCGGGTTATACTGGGAGCACGGACGGATTAAGACACAAGTACCTGGTATCTCCAAGGACTGTTACTCCCCACAAGTTTCTGGACTTACTAAAAATAAGCAGACAAATCAAGACTGGAAGTCTAGCAGGTGGAATTTCCACTTTTCATTTTCTATACCAGCGATACGGGCATTTAAGGGGATTCGAAGACCCGGAAAATAGACTCTGCAGTAAAGGAAACCGATCAAAATGGGAGACCCATAGATGTTTTGCCTTCATGGTGGCGTTTTTAGGCCTTTTGGTGTTTCCAAGGGAAGATGGCCATATTGATTTATGGATAGCTAGGGTTATCCACGTTCTGACTACTCAGGCCAAAAGTACCCTCGCGCCCATGATCGTATCAGATATATTCCGAACCCTCACATTCTGTAAGGCCGGAGTCAGGTTTTTCGAGAGATGCAATCTGCTGTTGCAAATGTGGATGATTGAGCACCTTTGTCACCGTCCTCGATACATGAACTATGGGTCTACGGGGAAAAACTGCATTGAAGAGTTTGGTACACGAGTAACAGGATTCGAAATGCCGTAAGGGGTCAAAGATTGGATTACCCTCCTTCGATCTACAACTGCGGATCAGATAGAGTGGACATTGGGTTGGCTTCCCGTTGATGAGATTGTTTATATGCCCGCCACTGGTCCCTACTTCTTGCTAATGGGTCTCTGAAGCATCCAACTATATGCTTCGTACCGGGTTTTGAGACAACTTGGTAGAAGCTAGATAGTTCCTATAGATGAAGATCTTAGCACTTATGTGGTCGAAATTCGCTCTGATGCCCAATTTCCTGAAGAAGTGGTTCGCCAAATTTGGAGTGAATGCTAGTATTTGGGGGCAAACACCCGAGTACGTGATTTGTCTAGGGGCGAGGTCTTACCTAGTTATGTTACCTGGTATGGAAAAAGAGGCGCGACGAATGGTGAATCGGAACGGCCGACTAAAAGACATCATATCCAAGAATTTGTCGATGCATCGCATGAGCAGTGGGTTTGGTTAGCTAAAGAAAAGGAATATCGGACTACTATAAGCAAACTAGAAGAGCAAGTTGAAAAAATCAAATTTGATCGTAGTTTGTAGGCAGCTGAAGATGAAGGGAAAAATAAGAAGTTGACTAGGGAAAATGAAGCCCTTCGAGACCAAATCCAGAAAATAAAAATAGCCGCCGAGACACCGGTAAGAAGTGAGAGAGATGAGAAAATTATAACCAACCTAAGGCGGAAAGTGCATGATTATGGTTTTGACTTGACAAATGCCGAAAGAGACTTGTTAAATGCTCAAGCAAAGTTGGTCAAAAGTGCGGAAGAACATGCTAGATTAGCCCACCAGTTGAAGCAGAATATGACAAAGAAGTAGCAATTTTACAGAAAAAGTTGGTTGCCCTGGAAAATGAAATGGTCAAGCAAACAAAGGATTTCAAGGCAGAAAGAGAGAATTGCTACGCATTGATTTACCAACTACAATAAAGCATGCAGCAGTTACAAGACCAAAACAACACAGATACACAAGTGTTAGAAGCTCGGGCCCAGCAGATTGGACGTCTACTTCAAGAAAAGGGCGTCATCAGAATGAGGATTAAAGAGATAGTTGATTATGTTGTAATAAAATACCATGAATGCGAAGACATGACCAGGTCTATATATTTTTGCTTCTGTGATGACATTCGTTCGCCAGGTGATGGTTGACCTAGACCATCTTCAAGAAGATATTGCCTGTAGGCCCGTACGGAGACCGGCTGATGTCCCACAGGCCCCCGGAGTACCAGTGGAGATTCTTATGTATTTTTGATTTTTCAGTCTTTGAGTCTGTATTTTACTTTTTCTCGAGTTTTGTTCGTCTTTGTCAAGGTTGTTTATTTCTTTATTTTGAGTCTGTAGATTTTCTTTTGTAGTCATCACTACTTTTAAGTCCTTGTAATAGAAAATCTAAAAAGATGTCTTTTATTAATGAAATATTAAAAAACCCAAAAAATTTCCTTTTCTTTCATTTCGCATTTATATCCTTGAACTACGTAATGATCTGATTCATGCGACGTCATGATGCGTAGGCAATCCCCATAGGATTCGATCATAGTCTTAAAATAAAAAGAAAAGGAGAAAAAAAAGAGAAAAGAAAGAAAAGAAGGGCCAAGCAGAAGGAAGAAAGAGAATGAGAATTAAAAAGTGAAAAACAGCAAAAGGAGAGGAAAAAAATCAGGATTTGAAATTTGGAAAAGCCGGGATGAAACACACAAGCCGTCACAAAGCATTTAGAAACGTTTAACTACTCAGGTGCATTGCATCCCCAATATGTGATTCCCTATCTGTTAAATGCTTCAAAACTGACTAAGTTATTGTGTGTGCATATTAAGACAGGTTCTGTTTAGGTGGTTAGTTTGTTGGTATCCTGGCAAGTCACCCCTATAACACCAGATCAAAGCGCAAGGAAGTCATGACCAGCAAAGAAACAGACACGGGAGTTGTTGACCCACCAAGGGAGATGGTAGAATCCGAATCTGGACTGAAAGAAGAGGTCCACAGTTTGAAGCACCAAATGGCAGAAATGTATCAAGCCTGGATCAGGGGGCATCCTCCACCTTCATTCCCCGCTAACTACACAGAAAATACCGCTTTCATCCCACCACTGTCACAAGCCCAGGATCCCATTACCGTTGATCTTTCCTCTGAGCATGCACCGGGCTTTACCCCTTACCACCACTACCCCGGTGCCTCGTCCCAAACTTTTCATGCTCTACCAGCCAAAACAACTGCATACCCTACCCTGATATCTGCTCATATTTTCGTACCTCCTCCGCGAGCTACCCTCCACCGATCTTCTAGTGAACCTGCGTTCCAAGCTCCAGATACCCAATATTATACTTCAGAACCAACTTTCAAAGTCACGGATCCTTATCCCTTCACCCCTCACTTTGAACCTCCTGTTGAAACTGAGAAACCATCCCGGAACGTGGAGCAGGATGCAATATTCAGGAATGTGAAGAGTTTAGAGCAATCTTTGAAAAACATGCAAGGGATAGGAAACCAAGTAAGTGTGGCTTACAAGGATTTATGCTTATTCCCTGATGTCCAACTTCCCGCTGGGTTCAAGATGCCCAAGTTTGACCTGTACGATGGGCATGTAGATCTCGTGGCCCATTTGAGAGGTTTTTGCAGTAAGATGAGAGGAGCCAGTGGGAAAGACGAATTATTAATGGCATATTTTAGTCAGAGTCTGAGTGGGGCGGATTTGGAATGGTACACCCACCAAGACACTAGCAGGTGGTACACATGGGATGACTTGGCCCAGGCCTTTGCTCGGTACTTTCAGTACAATATAGACATTGTCCCGAATCGCCTATATTTGACCAAGGTAGAGAAGAAGCCGAGTGAGAGCTTTAGGGAATATGGCTTCAGATGGAGAGAACAAGTTGCATGAGTCAATCCTCCAATGGAAGAAGATGAGATGGTCGAGTACTTTCTTCAAGCCCCAGAGCCTACTTACTTTGGCCATTTGATCTCAGCCATAGGTAAGTCCTTCAACGATGTGGTAAAGATGGGAGGAATGGTGGAAGAAGGGTTCAAGTCAAGCAAGATCATGAGCTACTCCACCATAAAAGCAACCACAGAGGCAATTCAAAGTGGCACCAGAAGCCTGTTAGGCAAAAAGAAGAAATATGATGTCGCTATGTTTATCTCTAGGTCATGGCGTGGCCCAGCGGGTTTGCCTCACCAGTTCACCCAACCTCGACCCCAACCTCAAGCCTACACCCAAGCTCCATATAATCCACCCCAACATTATCTCCCACCACAAGATCCTCAATATTCAGTCAGACCACCCCAATATCATGTTCACCACGCACAGTCATATACGCAACCCCCTCCTTACCCGTAATGGCGTGCTCCAAATCCACAAAATCCTTATCTACCCCCACAACCATACCGAAACCCTACTGGTCCAAGATTTCGACCAAGGTCGGATTATAGAAAAGAGAGGCAGTAATGGAAAGAAACCTCCAACCCTCTTGGAGAGTCCTATACCAGTTTGTTTCAGAGATTGAGGCAGTTGGACGTGTTGAGGCCGATTGAGTCAAAGATACCAAATCCATCTCCAAGAAATCTTGAGTGTTCCCTCAGATGTGCATATTGTTCTAATGCCCCAGGGAACGACACAGAGAAGTGTTGGCATTTGAAGAGGGCGATCCAAGAGCTCATTGATACAAATCAAATTATGGTCCAGAGCCCGGAGGCGCCAAACATCAATCAAAAACCTTTGCCGGCCAATTCAGAGACACATATGATTGAGATAGTTCATAAGAATGGGGAGCCCAAGAATTCTTCCAAGTCTGCCATGATGATCCAAGCTAGAGAAAGTAATCCAGTTAAAGATCCAGATTCTGCAAAAGAAATGCCCTTGATAGTTGAAGGGGTGTCGGAAAAGCTAAGCACGCGCAACGTGAAGCCATCTGTATTGGTTGTGAAAGGGCCTCCGATTGATGTTGAAGCGAACCAGGAAAAGTAAAAAGTGATCGTGCCAGGGGTCCCGGGCAAGCCTGTCATAATCGTGGAAGGGGCTCGTATTACCCCAGTTATTATTAAGCCAGTGACCCAGTTACCAATGATTGACACAAAGGTCGTCCCCTGGAATTACAAACAGGTGATAGTGACATATAAAGGGAAAGAAGTAGAGGAAGAATTCAATGAAACTGGAGGGCTGACTCGTTCTGGGAGATGTTTTACCCCAGAGGAAATGAGGAAAGCCAAGCCATTCAAGGATGGCCACATCCCAGTAAAGAAGTCGGTCACCGAAGAAGAGGCTGAAGAGTTCCTGAAAAAGATGAAAATGCAAGACAATTCCATTGTAGAGCAGTTAAGGAAAACACCAGCTCAGATCTCTCTTTTGTCTTTGCTGATATATTCATATGAACACCGCAAAGCCCTGATGAAGATTTTGAATGCAGCCCATGTTCCTGATAAGATCACGGTGAACCACTTAGAAAAGATTGCTAACAAGATTTTAGAAGCAAATAGGATCACTTTCTCAGATGATGAACTTCCTATGGAGGCCAAATGTGAAGCTTAGCAATTGGAAAGCTACTCCTCTCCCCTTCCGGAAGGAGTTTTGGTAGTTTTCTTTGTTTTCCTTTCTGTCATCTGGGTTATTCCAAGGTTGTAATCCAGATTTTTATTTTTGCTTGTTTTGATGTACAAACCCTTCTATCCTTTTATTTTTCAATGAAATACAATTTTCCGTTTTTCATTATTCCTAATAGCGTTTCATTTTTTTTTTTGTTTCTTTTTTCTGTACGGTTCTTTTTATGTTGGTTTCAATGACATGATATGCATGAGGAATTTTCAGCAAAATCTTAAAAGCCAATTTAATTCTAAAATAACAATCCAAGAAGTAGAGTATGATGATGAAACAGAATATGATGGAGAAGCAGCATTTCAGAAAATCAGTAGAGAACTAAATCACTTTGAAGAAAAACCCAAGCCTAATCTGAATGAAACTGAAGCAATCAATTTAGGAGATCAAGATAATATCAGGGAAACCAAGATAAGTGTGCATCTGGAACCGCAAATCAAGGAAGAAATAATAAAAGCACTGTTTGAATATAAAGATGTTTTTGCATGGTCGTATGAAGACATGCCGGGTTTGAGCACTGATCTGGTAGTTCATAAATTGCCAACTGATCCGGCATTCCCTCCGGTCAAGCAAAAGTTAAGGAAGTTCAAGACTGATATGAGTGTGAAGATCAAAGAAGAAATAACAAAGCAGCTTGACGCAAAGGTCATTCGGGTCACTCGATATCCCACTTGGTTAGCTAATGTTGTGCCAGTACCAAAGAAGGATGGTAAGACCAGGATATGTGTTGATTATCGTGATCTCAACAAAGCAAGTCCAAAGGATAACTTTTCATTACCGAACATCCACATTCTGATTGACAATTGTGCCAAGCACGAGATCGGGTCTTTTGTGGATTGCTATGCGGGATATCACCAGATCCTGATGGATGAAGAAGAAGCAGAAAAGACAGCATTCATCACACCATGGGGGACATATTGCTACCGGGTAATGCCATTCGGTTTGAAGAATGCTGGGGCAACTTACATGAGGGCAATGACTACCATATTTCATGACATGATACACAAGGAAATTGAGGTTTATGTAGATGATGTGATCATAAAGTCAAAGAAGCAGTCCGACCATGTTGGGGATTTGAGAAAGTTTTTCCAAAGGCTCCGCAAGTACAACCTCAAGCTCAATCCGGCAAAATATGCATTTGGTGTCCCGTCCGGGAAACTGTTGGGATTCATAGTCAGTCGACGCGGTATTGAGTTGGACCAGTCAAAGATCAAGGCCATCCAAGAATTACCACCGCCAAAGAATAAAACTGAGGTGATAAGCCTGCTCGGGAGGTTAAACTACATCAACAGGTTTATTGCTCAACTCACAGCAACTTGTGAGCTTATTTTTAGGTTGTTGAAGAAGAATGCTGCGGTTAAGTGGACTGATGAGTGTCAGGAAGAATTTGATAAGATCAAGAGGTACCTGTCAAACCCACATGTGCTGGTCCCGCCAGAGCCTGGGAGACCTTTGATTCTCTATATGACAGTCCTGGATAATTCTTTTGGTTGTGTATTGGGTCAACACGACATCACAGGAAAGAAAGAGCAAGCCATTTATTATCTCAGCAAAAAGTTCACTCCTTATGACGTTAAGTATACCCTTCTTGAAAGGACGTGTTGCGCCCTGACTTGGGTAGCACAGAAGTTGAAGCATTATCTATCGTCCTACACTACTTACCTCATTTCTCGCATGGATCCTCTAAAGTATATCTTTCAGAAGCCTATGCCCAAAGGAAGACTTGCAAAGTGGCAGATTTTACTAACAGAATTTGACATCATCTATGTGACCCGGACCGCGATGAAAGCCCAAGCCTTGGCCGACCACTTGGCCGAGAATCCGGTGGATGAAGAGTATGAATCATTGAAGACTTATTTCCTGATGAAGAGGTAATATATGTTGACGAGTTTCACCATGAGGAAAAGCCCGGTTGGAAACTTTTCTTTGATGGAGCTGCTAACATGAAAGGTGTCGGAATAGGGGCTGTACTCATTTCTGAAACAAGGCATCACTACCCCGTAACAGCTCAGCTTCTATTTTATTGCACCAATAACATGGCTAAATATGAGGCATGCATTCTGGGTTTGAGGCTAGCTATAGACATGGGAGTTCAAGAAATATTAGTTTTGGCAAATTCAAATTTGTTGGTTCACCAGATTCAGGGAGAATGGGAGACTCGGGATTTGAAGCTCATACCGTATCGACAATGTATGCATGATCTTTGTCAACGATTCAGGTCAGTAGAATTCAGGCATATTCCCAGGATTCATAATGAGATCGCCGACGCCTTGGCTACTCTGGCGTCAATGTTACACCATCCGGATAAGACTTACGTCGACCCACTGCATATCCAAGTCCGTGATCAGCATGCTTATTGTAATGTGGTTGAAGAGAAAATTGATGGTGAACCTTGGTTCCACGATGTCAAGGAATACATAAAGTTAGGGGTATATCTGGTACATGCCACAGGTGATCAAAAGAGAACTATTCGACATCTGGCTAGTGGATTTTTCTTAAGTGGGGGAATCTTGTACAAGAAGACTCCAGATCTAGGATTAATAAGGTGCATAGATGCTAAACAAGCTTCGACTATCATGGCCGAAGTGCATTACGGAGTTTGCGGGCCGCATATGAGTAGGTATGTCTTGGCAAAGAAGATCCTTCGAGCAGTTTATTATTGGCTCACCATGGAACGAGATTGCATCAGCTTTATTTGCAAATGTCATCAATGCCAGGTGCACGGTGATTTGATTCATTCCCCACCATCCGAATTGCACACAATGTCTGCACCTTGGCCCTTCGTTGCTTGGGGCATGGATGTCATTGGACTAATTTAGCCGGCAGCGTCAAACGGGCATAGGTTTATTCTGGTGGCCATTGATTACTTTACCAAGTGGGTGGAAGCTGTAACTTTCAAGTCCGTGACCAAGAAGGCGGTGGTAGATTTTGTTCATGCAAATATCATTTTTCGGTTCGGAGTTCCCAAGGTAATCATCACAGACAATGTTGTTAACCTCAATAGTCATTTGATGAAAGAGGTATGCCAACAGTTCAAGATTATACATCGAAACTCCACTCCGTATTGTCCTAAGGCAAACGGAGTTGTTAAGGCTGCTAACAAGAACGTAAAGAAGATACTTCGTAAGATGGTGCAAGGTTCCAGGCAATGGTATAAAAAGTTACCTTTTGCTTTACTGGGTTATCGCACTACTGTTCGCACTTCAGTAGGCGCGACTCCCTATTTGCTGGTTCATGGAACTGAGGCAGTTATACCTGCGGAAGTTGAGATTCCATCCCTCTGGATCGTTGTTGAAGCTGAAATTAATGATGATGAGTGGGTCAAAACCCGACTAGAGCAATTGAGTTTGATTAATGAAAAAATATTGGAAGCAGTATGCCATGGTCAATTGTATCAGAAAAGAATGGCAAGATCATACAACAAGAAGGTGCGTCCCCAAAAATTTGAAGTGGGTCAGCTAGTATTGAAACGCATCCTTCCACATCAGGTTGAAGCTAAAGGCAAGTTCGCCCTAAACTGGAAGGTGCCGCTCATTGTGACAAAAGTGTTGCCCAATGGTGCTTTGTATTTAACAGATATAAAAGGCAAATGTGTAGATATGGCTATCAATTCTGATGCAGTCAAGAGATATTATGTATAATTTCTTTGCTTCTCTTCAATAGCATTTTGTACTTGGCATGTTTAAAATTGGAATGACGAAGGCATTTTATTCTATTACCCCAAACACTTTTATCCTTTGTTACCCCTTCTTTAGCCTTATTTATTTTCTTTCATACCCCTCTTTTGGAATCAGAAGTAGAGTTAGAAATAGAAAAAAAAAGGAAAAAAAAAGAAAAAAAGAAGAATAAAAAGAAGAAAAGAGAAAAGCAAAAGAAAGAAAAGAGAAAAGAAAGGAGAAAAAGAAAAGAAAAGCAAAGTAACAAAAAACAAAACGACTTTTACTAGTTTGGACTACGTTCGACCTGATTCCTTTTAAGGATACGTAGGCAGCCTTACACTGTTCGGTCCCATCAAAATAAAAATTCAAAATCCCCCAGATTCTAAGAAACTGGGGCAGAAGTTTTAGTTTTATAAAAAGATCTGATTCCAAAAGTTATAATTTTGAACACATTCATCTTAAATTATTTTGAGCCTGCATGCCACCCTTTCTTTCTAACCCTGTCCAAAACCTACACTAGAGTCCAAAGAAAAACCTTCTGATCAACTTTGAGGATGCCAAGTCAAGTGAGATAGAGGTATGATTTACATCATGGGTAGCACCTTTGTTCATGGGCACAAGGAAAAGTGAATAAATGAGAGATTCTTATTGGTGAAAACCCTCACGGGCACCATAGGGTGATGGTGAGTTGAGAGAAAATTCAAATGAGAGAGTCTT